TTATTAATAAAGGGTTGTACCCGAATCATGTAATTTTCCGACCTGATTTACATACAAGATTAGCTCTAATGTGATATAAAAAAAAAGAAACAAAAAAACTGTTTTAAATTTTAATAAAAAATTTAACTCATTCAAATGAAACCGAAACAAATTCTAAAAAAAAAAAATTTAAAAAAAACGTTTTTATCAATCATTTACAATCTAAGGCACATATCGTTTTGAGACTTGGCGACAACATTTATTAAAGCGAACCGACTAATGCCTGCACACATATGGAATGACGCCCACTTTAAGTAAAGTCGTTGCATGCATCTGATACATCAAGCTTTACATCAGGCGTTACAAGTGATCCGTTAATGGTAATAGCATGCTCAGGACTTGTTTTTTTCAATTCTTTGACTTCCTTATAAATAGTAGTAAGCTTGTCTTCGGACAACTCAAGGCAATTGCCAAATCTAAACTTGGGAATAAATTGCCGTTGTTCTTATGCATTAAATTTCGCAGTCAAAGAATTCGAATGACGGGCACGCCAAAGAAGAGCTAATCGATTCAGAATTTTCTAATTTCTCATTACCAAAAATATATATATATATATATACCTTCAATGCCACGTCTACAGCTTATATCTGGACGGGAAAAACTGATAAAATCCTATTGCACTCGACGATAGTTAAAATAACTGTAAAAGTTATACTTTACTGATATAAGTGAGATGGTGGGTTGGTGAATCCAGACTACGTTTCTAACTTAATTTCTTGATGGCTCTGTCAAAAATGTGCACAAAATTTGCGATCGATAGGAATATTTACGAAATATGAAAATCTCACCTTCTAAGTTGCCCCATAATATTGTGATCACAAGGTATGTCAAACGACCAAACCTTACCCAAGCGAATGGCTTTTGTTCAGACCGGCAATTCCTTAATTGACAACTGCTTCAAATTTCACACTGAAGTCTTTATTACTTTATAAAATACGTTTGTTTATTGGTTCTTATGTGAAAAATTACATATTTGTCTTTAGTCGAACAGTTCCGGTCCTTTAAAGCACGAGAATACCGAAAAGTCAGATGATGCTAAATCAGACGAACAAAGTGGTTGCGAAACGATATGCGTGGAATTTCTGGCAGAGAAATCCACGAAAAACCATTGGAATGTGAGATATGTGAGAATGTGCGTCATAATGCTTGCATAAAATCAAGAATTCATTGTTCACCATTCCAGCGAATAGGTTCACGTAAGCGTTCATATAATCTTCCTTGTTAAAAATTTGGTGGAAGTAATTTATAGCGCAGGACACGAAATGATAATCGAAGAAAACTTCAGCTTACCACCTTTTGATCACAATGGCGTACTGCAATTAAGGCAAATCGAATAAAGACATAGACTAAGAAAAAGTTTTGAGCTTCATATTACCAGGCAGAGAAAGTCTTCATAAGCTTCGTGAGCAATAATATTGCACCTAATTATTTTCAACTGATTGATTCCCTTGAAAATTTTAATTTGCAATATGGCGTGGCTAGGGTGATGCAACCCGATGACTTCGACAGAATTTACCTTTCAAATCTTAAATATAAAAAAAATATTCACGTGCTTCTTTACGAGCACTAAAGACAATAAATCCATTCCGAGTAATTGAATTAAGCGTAAGCAAAAAATGATTGGATTTATTGATAATTTTGTCTCTTTATCAAAATTACTGTCAAACGATAGAAGTTTTCAATTTTGTTGTTGTCAAATTTCACAATGTTTTTGCAATCGTTAATAGTTTATTATACTTTGCAATGACGCAAATTGTTGGTAGAGAAGAAGTTATAAAAAAGTTAATAAAATTTTCGCCTTTATTTCGTTTATTTATTACACCGTACATGATTTGTGGTAAAAGAGTTAGATATGGAGAACGTAAAATCCAGAGTCCCGCTTGACCCAGAGCAATTTTCTAAATCGATCTAATCCTGCCTATTCGTCCGCCTTTTCGAGACAGACGCACCTTTTACTATATCGACCGATCTACGAATCATAACATAATGTTTGTCCGTCCTTCGACCTGTCTGTTTTAGCTTCTTGTGTACATTTTTGAGATATTTTGATCAAATTCGCTACACTTTCTTATTTTCACCTAACGCGTGAACAGTAATGAAAATAGTAGGAACCCGACCACTTACCATATAACAGCGTATTTTGAAAAGTCGAAATATAAGTAACACAAAGCTATTAAAAGAGGAATTCGGTAGTCAGTTGTCAGTGTGTTCATGTATGGAGTGAATTTTGAATTTCTGAAGGGTCGATACTTTTTAAACTATCATGCTCTGGCAACAGTGATGACAAGAGATATGATCGATCAATTAGCAGTTAACTGGTTTTTCACTTTTTCAACTGACATACTCTGTTAGTGTAGTTGCGAACATTTATTCCAAACTAAAACCACTTCTCCTATCGATAGGGTTAGATGATATAAGTAGGTACGTAAAAATATAATTTCTTACGATTTTTTCATTTTAGTAATAAATATTTATTATATTGTATGACAATATATATATATATATATATGTATATATTTATAGATATCTGATTATAAGAGTTTTAAATTCTAAGCAGAAACGCTTGGTAATGCACTTAGGCATTAAATCGATATCTCGATGACGTTCTTATATTTATTATTGAATGTGTATAAAATACAAATAATTGATTGAATTATGAAGCACAGAACAAGAATATAACAAACGCTCATCCAACGAGAAAGGCAGAAATTGCAAGATGAGTGACTGAAAAGTCGATTAAATGCCATTCACTTCCTATCGTACTCTGCGATTCTCATTAATGTGTTTAAGAGATTTTTTTTAGCAAAACTTTAAATAAGACAATGAAAAGAGCTTTTGAATATGTTAAGCATTTACAGTTTCCAGTCGAAAAGGTTGATTGATAAACCTCTTCATTTACTTGACATAGCAAGGGATTTGCATTGAATTTTGCAAACATTTATAAGACATCGAGATATGCAGCCACAGTGAAAGTGTACGTCTTCTTAATACTCATAAATGGCCAAATCACTTACGTTACTTCTCTCTCTATTTATAGTATCATTAAAATCCGAAATGTTGAACCTTAGTCAGAGAGCTTGTTCTCGAATTATTCGTATGAAACGTAAAATAAGGTTAAGTTTGAAAGTCAGCAAAATCAATCTACGACTTCAATATTCAAAATAGGCATTGGGTTTCCCAAAGAGCCAGTTTTCTTTTTTTTCCTAAATAATTAAGGTGAATAACGAACTTTTTGCAGTAGAATTTTTTTATCGAATTAAAAAAAACCTATAAAATATACGAAGTCTTCTATAAATCAAGCAGACTAGATATAAAAAGAGTTTAGTCTGAAAAGTATGCTTCAAAATCGTAAAAAATATTTATATAATTAAATAATATACGTCGTGATGCGTACGCTACGTACGGTGTGATGGATCTTCGTTATATTCTGCGATCGAATATTGCAAACGGTTGTTATAGAGCGTATTGAGAGATGCAATCGAAATTCCACAAAATGCTGCCAAGTCGGGAAAAAGTAGAGTTTGCAGCCTATACAATACACGATGTGCTCTATATGATATATGATATGCTTATCTGGCTACGGATGTTCGTTCTGCATTCCTATCAAATACTGCAAGCAGTTTTCCGAAGCGCATAAAACTTCTTTGCTCTTCATCAAAAAAGAAACCAGTCGGTGCGCAGCGAGCAGTACTACTTGCTTCATTTTTGAACAGATTCTTGTATCGACAAACATTTATCAAATATCTTGAAATTGCACGTTTAATTAGCGTTACACATTAATCGTTATCTGAGTTGAAAGTGTGGGTCAACAATGCATGGGACCGAGGTACACACACGTTTAAGAAACGTCATATCCTAACCACTGTCCAAGTGGAAAGTGTCGGTCCCTTTCTGACGTTCTGTCAAAAATGCGTGTGACAGATGGACACACACATGTAAGTAACGTCATATGCTAACCATTGTCCAAGTTGAAAGTGTCGGTCCCTTCTTCACGTTCTGTCAAAAATGCATGGGCAGGAGGCGAATCAATTGATCATCTATCAATTTATTGCCTTTGTGGCCGAATATTTTGGCCTTCGAAGTATGTACGCACGCCCAGTAGGGTGCCCTAACCAAAGCATAAAGGATAGATATATGTAATTCCAGAAAAGTGCATTTGAGATATTCAGGAAAGTGGCTTATGACGACATGGGGGCGATCCATAAGGACATCTTTATAAATTAGTCAAAAAATCTTCCTTAAAGTGCTGCTTAGAGCCTGAAGGAGAGCATTTCAAAAAGAATAAACAAAATTTTGCCAAAATAAGAAGTCTTTGTTCTCATTTTGAAAAAGCTTTGTTTTGCTTTAGAAAGTAGATTATGTTGAAATTAAAAAAAAAAACAAAAAACAAAAGCTAAGATACTCTTCCATATAAGTGTATGTGTATATAGTTAATTAGTTTTGTGAGTGCGCTAATTAGCGGTCAATTGTTAAGAAATAAGTGCTTTCGTATTCAAAAGGCGATTTACTATGCATTAGAAAACATATTGTTTTCATTCATTTTGGTTCTTTGTTTGTTTTTAAGGCGATCCATATTTACAAAACCTGTTGAATATATGTGAAGTATTGTACGTTACTTTGTATGTTTTGTTTTTTTTTTTTTTTTCTCTATCTCTGAAAACAAAGTCGTTAAATTGTTTTTTGGCATTTACACTTGATTATGTAATAATTTGAGAAAAAAGTATTGAGAGATTTTTGTCAGTATATAATAAATGGTATGGTGTTTGATGGCTTTGTGGAAAATTTCAACGCTCATATATATGTATAATTTTTAATTATATATAATTGTATTTTAAAAGCATTTTAAAATTATTAGCTAAATGTTAATAAAAATTTCCAAAAATTTATATCTAAACAAGATTTTAAAGTATGGATAGCCCAAGTATGGACTGAAAGCATTATAATTATTACTATATACGTACCTCCATTGTCATTATCATCTTGTAAATGATTCTTTAAATGATGAAGATGTGCATAGAAGTGATGATGATGCAATACGCACGCCAAATCCGTGCAATTTAACATATTCGCTTAAGTTTATGTTGGTCGGCAAATAATTACACAAAATTCTGAAAAGAGAGAACATAATAAGCGTAAGCTGTATGTTATAGAACTGACGCAAATGATATTCATTAAATCGTGCTTTTTTCCATTCTAGAAAAATTCTGATTCATTCCTGTAGCTAACCATGATCATGAAGCATATCGAATGAAGGATTTCCTTCAGTAAGCAAATTATAATAACAACTAATCCGTTTATTTAGTTTATGCAGAAAGCTCTGCAGTACTTAAAAAAAAATGGCCTTACATAACAATAGACTTTTTTCTATCTCATATTGCCAAGCCTCGCGGAAATATCCCACGGCCCATGCTTCCAAAGTTTCAGTTACATAATAACATTGAGCGAATTATACGCGTATATTTGGGAAGCTAATTGCGCGCGTTGAAAGTAAACCCGTTTATGCCCTTCAGTAGCAAATTTTAGCAGAACAGGTGCAAAACATTTGCTTTAGATTCTCGAAAGCTTTGCGAAAGCGAATGAATTCATCACGGCAATCCTTGCTTATTCAGATTATTCATTTGTGACGTGACAATTGTGCCGGCCGATTAATCCTTAATAGAATGGTAAAGAAAATCATTATAAACTTTATTTAGTACTTAATTCTTCCTCTTCTTCTTTAATCCTTACGTAATCAAATAATTTGCATTCATAAGTCGCGGGCAATTAAAAACTTTGAAATATTTCCACTCGAACAATGCAAACTGCAAATAAAATATTAACTTTTTTTTGTTCCCTTTTAATCAAGTTAATGCGATTAAAATGTATTATCATCTATTTGCTTCCATTCGAATAGAACTTATTGTTATTTTAATGTCATGCGAGAGAGTCAGTATTATTATATAATTATCGGAAAGTACAACTCGAAAGTGCAGAAATTACGTTTAACCCAAAAGTGGCGAAAGTATGTCATAATGTAAAGAGGAAATGATTCAATAATTAATAGCTTAGCGCACAAACACATTTCCCTGCTGACACGTACATATAACAATTTGCATTGTCTTGTAAAAAGCAATTATATTTATGTACATATTTGCACATATGAGTATAACAAGTCAATTTTTTTTTTTTGGTTAAAGTTTTTCATAAACATTTACTTTCTTTTCATTCATTGAAAATAAAAATTCTTAAATTATATACACTGAGAACAATATGTAAGAACAATTGTTCGACTGTTTTCAAGCCCTTACATATCGTTAAATGGAAATATTTAAAGAATTATTTTATAAAGCGGAGTTTTATTTATTAAAAATCGTATATCCGAACAGAAAAATGTAATGATTATTTTTGGGAAAATTTCCAACACATTTTTCAGAATAATAAAAGATACGTCTATCTCAAATTGTTCTGCGTGCTGCCGAATTAATTTAATACACCCACAAGTTGGAACAAATTTTCTACATATCTATGTACATTTGTTGTACAAAGACATAAAAAGCAAGAGCTCTTCATAGCTTTGAAAGGACCTCCTAAGCTATGTCTCTAATGTGTTGCAATTCTCAACCAAACTGATGCAAAAAGCTTTTCGGGCCAATTTGGAATCATTCGATTAGTCCGCCTAGACTAGAGAATTCATGTAAATTAAACGTAACGTAAGTGGTTTGTAAAGCAAAAAGTATAGTTTAGATATAATTTTGGCCAAAAGCACGAAATATCTTTACTTTTTTTTTACATTTTATTTGCCAGATTTACACTAAGTAAATAAGTCGGTTTTGTTCGTCAGCACTAAATAGGATCGCAAAAAAACGTTCGGAAAAGCAACCGACTGAAGGTAAACATACCACATGTGTACACCTCACAAGCAACGTAGAACATTTTCGGGGATAATAGCAACGATTGCAATAAATATGTTGAAGACATTTTAAAGACGTGACAATCGTAACTTAATGTAAATCGAATACGAGGAAAATTTAACGATTGTGAACGTATCGTCCACTCTCTGCAGAAAATTTGAATTTAATTTCATTATAACGAAGAAAAAAAGAAGGAAAATTATGAGAGAAAGAAAATAGAATTCGAGTGATGCTCAGATATATTTCTTAAACGTAGAAAATTCAGAGCTTATGGCGAACGAGGTTTTCTTATGTATTATACTAAATTCTAATTTTTAAATATTATTTATTTTATGTATTTACTATTGTTATTTACCATACGAAGCCATCGCGGCTGGATATCCCGCCGTATGCATCATCCTCAAGATAATAATGGCTACTACCACGTCAGTGTGCGTTGGTTTAAATCTTATTGCGATAAAGTTTAGTTTAGTAGTAGTAGGCAAACGAATAGCATTGGAACGCACCCCCGCCGGGTTGTGACCATTTCCTCATCTCTTTCCCTTTGTTCAGTTCTTCTTCACCGTCGTCGTGTTACAAGAATAGTGAACATCGGCTGAGTGATTGAAAGAAGAACAAAACAAAATCGAATATTTCATAAAGTTCCAAAGAAAAATTTTCCGTCCATACAGTGTTTTATATCTGTCATTACGTGTGCTCTTCGTTGTGAACATTTGAAAATCGGATAAGTTGAAGTGAAGACATAACACTACAAACACATGATTTTCTAAAGAAAACAGGAAAATTTTTGAAGAAGCTATAACGAAACCAGTCCATATTGTGATAAATAAGTGATGAGCATACAATTAACATAAAAGAGATTAGCATAAAAGAGATATATTGAAATTTTCTAAGGACACTGCAAAATTATCACTCTATACAAGTTTCTTCTGCTCTTAGGCGCTTCTTATTATTTAATCAAAGTGTCTTTGCAATCTACCGATCTTCAAAAGATTGCCTTTACTTACTTGTATATACTTATGTGGATATAAATCTTTTTGTGTACATAAGAGTCGAATATTTAGCAGTAATGTAGAGGTTATCTGATATTCGCCACAAGCTAAAGGGAGTTCCTTGTTTATCTTGCAGTGCTCGTAAAGTATTTACAAAAAGACAAACAATGTACAAACGATATTAACAAACATGGCAATCAGCCATAACAATAAAATAGTTAATTACGTAAGTAGTGGTTCGTTTTATGTTTCAATTTTAATTTATGTATTTTTTGGTATTTAATTTTTCTTAAGAAAGACATTGAATTTTTTTCTTTTTCGGTAAATTTACATAAATAAAAATGTACAAAAATCAAAGTAAATGACAAAACACACATAACCAAGAAAAAAAAAAGTAGTCTTTTTAACATATCAACTAACATTATCTTCAGGTGGGGAGAAGTTTGTTTTACTTGTCAAATATTTAAAAATTTGAAGCAAGCACTTGACCTATTTAGGTAACCACAAGGAAAAAAATTTATTAAAAAGCTACCTATATTGATAATTCAATCACCATAAGGTAATGTATTCAGTTTATTACATATTTGTTATATCTAAGAAGTGCAGATGGGTAAGCGCGTCAATTACATCTCCTACATTACTTCGCCTAATAATAATAGTCTCCAGTTTTTTCCAGATTTAACAAAACCGTACTTTCCCTCCGATCCCCCTGATAGGAGAGGACGAAAGAAAAGTGAGCCAATGTAATCTAAATGTAGTTTGGTGGACACATACGTAATCTCATCATTTTCTATCAATCTATCCTCAGCTTCTTCTGATCTACTAATATTCTTCCACTTTAGCCACATAGGCTCCTCTCCTTTTGCATGAACATAAAATCTACTCCTTAACGTTGCTTAAATAATAAAATATTTTTTATATTATTGTTATACCCATCACTGTAACATGGGTGTTATAATATCATTTTGTTTTTTCTCCAAAATATATGTAACACCAAAAAGGAAGCTTCAGAGACTCTGTAAAGTATATATATTCTTGATCAGCGTGAAATTCTGAGTTGAATTACGCGTGTCTGTCCGTCCGTGTGGTGTGTATTGTTGGCACCCTCCTAGGTAGAAACGTGCACGCAGGTTGGTATTGAAAATGAGTCAAATTCCTCAGAGCAGAAGCGCAAAGTAGAGCGTAAACTGAACGCAGCTCAGTTTCTTTTAAAGAAAACCTTTTGGATTTTTGCCTGTTATTCGGAAATTATTAAAGTTAAAACTCCGAAATTTCCCACATTTGCTTTACTGTGGTCCGAAAATGGAACCAATCAGGCGTGTCACAAAAAATTACGAGTGATTAAATTTTCTTTTTTTCAATTTTTTGGGGTTTTATGCGTATTTATCATAAGGCAAGCAAGACAATGAAAATATATTATCTGCCTAACAATGGGTTAATCCTAAAGTGAATATGGTAGACACAGCGATTAATTTTTTCTTAGTAACACTAGGTATCAAATAAAAGAGTTTGGAGAGCAGCATGCGAAAAGCAAAGTGGTGGGTATACGAGATTAGGCCCCCGCCGAGTATAAATTTCCTACTTGTTTATTGTTCTTGTAGGTTTTCAGGCTTCTTCGGTTAAATTAACATAAAGCATAATATATTTTTGTGACCTGCTCAAAAAGCTTCTTATGAAACAAACCCCGATAAGCCGATCCCTTAGATGCTAGTGCTTTAAGATCCAGAATTAATTTCTCTTCCTAATTTAATGATAATAAATCTCGAGAACGCTTACACTTGCTAATCAAGTTACTTTCTTATTTTATATTTTTGTATTTTTTTTTTTTTCGCCAGGAATCAACATCGACAAGTAATATATAGCAGTTGAAAAATATAGGTATCAAAAAATGTCGCCTTAACTTAAATGCAATTTTTTGTCGGATCTTTCTTTCCAATTTCATAAATGAAAACTTATAGCAAACAAAACGAAATTGCCGCGAGGTTTAATAGCCGCTAGCAACTGTCAAGTAATATCAGTAAAAATATATGAATTTTTTTTCTCCCATTAATCAAACTGATAATGAATTTAAACACTTTTTAAGTATTAGTCGTTTTGGGATAGTAAAGTCCCTGTGAAAAGTCACAGGGATATATATATACATTCTTTTCAAGAGTATAAATTTATGGATATACTTGTATAAGTATTTATTTGAAAAATTTATAAGCTGAAATTAAGTGACAGAAA